GGTAGAGTACCCGACGAATGGGCTGCGTTCATTCGGCCCCCACTGGGGACTAGCCTGTCTACACTCATGGTAGTAATACTCATCTTGGGAATTCACAGATTTCCAGGTCAGGTAATGGCAGTGACTATTGTCCCTATAAAGTTGGTAGTGGTCGTGTTATTCCATATAGCTGGGGTTGTGGGTTTATATACATTGCCTACTGATATTTTCTTACCACTCCTTGGTCACTTCTGCGACTCCTTCCTCAAGTTCCTAGGTAGTAAACGAACTGGTCAAGATGGTTCTTGTAGGTATGTGACTAAGCCGATCTCATGTTGATATTCTTTTCGAGAAAATTCACAGTTTTCGCTTCAATTTCGTATGTTCTCGCCCAAAAATGTGTTGTGAACTTCGTTGTAGCGTCGGTGGGGAAGCACGTTGTGTCCACTTGAGATTCGACTCAGTAGCCGATGCTTTTCACAGTTTAGATTTGTTGGAGTGCTAAGTAGAGGCGATAGCTATCAAATCAAATAGAATTTGTTGATTTCTATATACTGTTCAGGTATCCGGGTTCGTGAAACTGGCGAGCGTCTGCCCTCCTCTGAGACCCCAACCATAGTTCCTAATCACGTCTCTTACTTTGATGTCCTCGTGAGTCTGCTGTTGCCATACATCATGTTTATCGCGTCACAGGTTTTGTTGTCTTGTAACCGTCCAGTATCATTTGTCGCGAAGAAAGCAGTCGCTTCCTACCCGGTCATCGGTGATATCGCCACCTCCTTGGGCAGCGTGTAAATCTTAAAAGTGCTTCGCTCCGCTAAAACTGGATTTCTTTAGGTATGTCAATCGTGCGAAAGACCCACAGGAAAGGGATGAGGCGATGGAAGTGATTGGGAAGAAGCAGAGACGTATCTTGTTGTAAATCTTCGCTGTGCGCAATTGCTGGTCGTTGGTCAGGTGTTATGGAAGGTAAATCTCGTTATCAATTATGTGTCTTTGCTGAGGGTACCACATCTAATGGAACCTCACTTATGCATTATCATGATGGTGCATTTGAGAGTATGTTGCCTGTAATAAGTCGACTTATTATCATACCACTCCACATTATCATGTTAGGTACAGCCATTGTATATACAGTACTCCAACCTCAATATCAGCTTCACTTGCTTCGACCTGTTACCACACTTCTTCCTAGTCATGGCCCTTCCTCAATGGCATACCATCACTTG